AAATGCCCCGCATCCATTAATTTTCCTGCTAGTTTTTTGGACGGGAAATATTTATTTTTCTTTTTTTCTTCTCTATTTATTTTTGTTTTTTTTATTATAATCATTTATTTTTTTCCTTCTTTGTGATTCCTTCATGTTCATTCTCACTGCTTCTTGGAAGCTCACTACACCATTAGTTTAACGGCGGAAAATTCGTCATCAAGTTTTCCTTATTTCACACGACCCTTCTCGATTTGGTCTCGTTTTCCGAGCTTTAATTTCTAACTTGAGACAGTTGTGCTTTGCTTCGCAATCCTTTCCATGGCCGGGTCACTTGTTTCTGTAGGAAACTTCTAATTAAACGTTTGAAAATATGTTTCGTACTTTATTTTCACTACTAAAGGGTATATTACATCATCATATTCCCATTTTGTTTACCTGTTTTTCTCGTTGGTTCTGCCTCACTTTCTTGACTTACCTTGAACTTTCGTACTTTCGTAGTTTCTTTCTGGACATTTCTCTTCATCATTCACAACGACGACGAACAGTGATGAAGCTTTTTTCTGACCCGGTTCAATGGAATCATGCATTTGTGACACTAACGATAAACCAGTGGACCAATTTTCTCGACATATTATTGCAGATTGAACATGGATCCAAGTCTCTTAGAAACGTGGAGAGTTTTTGCTAAATATGACCTTACTTAAATTGTCTCCTCCGGTGCGCGCTTTCACACATACCTGCTCTTTCTTACGAGTCCTTTTTGCAAATGAATTGCCGTCGAGCTGGAGCGACCAACTATCGGCAAGCGGCGAAACGCCATATCGGGGCCTTACGGCATGGCACATATATCATTTTAGTTTGGAATTCACGACTTTCCAGACCAACTTCAAAGCTTTCCTGGTCAAATTCACTGTTTCAAAAATTGGAATTCAAACATCCTTAACCACCAAGCATTTGAATTAACGCAGGTCAGCACTCTAGCCACTAGTGCAATCCCCGCCTCGACAGCAGCGCCCACTTTCCAGCACAGTCACGATGTCTCAAATTTTCTTTTATAGCTTGTACTTCTGTAGATTCTTTTCACTATTTTTGGCTATTTCGGCTACACTTTCTGGAAAAAGGATTTTCATCTACTGACAAAAAGGCTATTTCGTGTGCTTGCTAGGTAATCGTTGCGGGTTTCAAAACTTCGAACATCCATCCTTCGAACGTTGTTTTCGCATCCACTTTTCCTATCAAATGTACTCAAACATGCATTTGTGCACGTCGCTTTGAACGAGTCTTGCCTGTTTTTCTTCGTTTTGTGGTGGCCGGCGCGATAAGGGACCTCGCCTGACTGGGACAACTAGCTTGCTATTTGGGTCATTTTACCGACGGCTGCTACCAGCAAAGCGGCGGGCCAAACTTAGCGGTGCGTCTCAAGAAAAGCGAATGTTCTAAAAAAAGTTCTAAAATTTCACGAAAAAGGTTGCCATAGGAGCGCTGAGTTATGGGCAGGAGTTAAACCCCAGGTGGGACTCCAACATGCATCCCCCGCCAAGCGAGCGGTATAAAACTGAAAAAAAAGTTTGCAAAAAAATATAGCAAAATGCCCCGCAAAATAGGCGTCTACAAGGGGGGGGGGGCTCAAAGCACCAGTGAGTAGGCGCGTGTCTATAAATTTATTTGAGGTTCGAAGAATGAGTGTGAAAAGAACGACAATGCCATTATGCGAAATAGTGAAAGTGAAAAATCAAAGGAGCAGAAGATGTAGAAGAAACTGTGAAAGATCATGACCGTGCTGAGAGGTGGCGTGGCTGTCAGGACTGGGCTTGTAGTAGCGTCTAGTGTAAGTTGCTTGATAATGGTTCGTTGAATTCGACTCAGAAAAAAAAATCGTAACCCTGACATGGAAACGATGTGTAGAGCACCCAAAACGGGAGAATATCTACCCTTAAGTATTCTCCGAAGTCTAATTTGGTTCAGTTCCTCAGCGGTTGAATGCGTTCTTCCGCTGTGTTTGCACGACAATGATCGGTGTGCCTTGTCTGGGACATTACAAGGATCTTTCAGTTTCTTATGAAACATTGAATGAATACCTAGCTGGATTGATATTCTGGAATGCTGATTACATGTATGGAGAAAAAGTGCAACGACATCTCCTAAGCAGTTCTAAGCGGTCAGTACAAATGTAATGTTACCATGTGAATGAGGTTGAACCTTTACGGCACTTACACTCCATTTCTCAGTGATAGAGAGGGCGTGGCTGCTTCCTTCATTTGAACGTGGCGGCAGTGCCGCTTCCGGTAGGACAGGACATATTCGTTTTGGGAAAAATATAACCATGTCACTGTGCAGTTTCAGAATGAGATGCTAATTATCTCAACGCAAATATCTAGTATATAACGCATGCCGCGCGCGTATATCGATGAGACATTCGGCCACGTCCTCCACCTCTCCGGCATGATTAGAATACAATACTTCAGGAAATCGTAATTTCATCATCTCTTTTCCTCCTCATCCTCTTTCTATTCTTCAGATTCCATATATATCCCGTTGATTCATTAATGCAAAGTGCAGCTTACGCCATTTCCATAATTGTGTACGCAAGTGATATATTGGCCTGTGACGCGCGCGGCTACCCACAACTTCCTTTTTTGTTCTTTGATGCCTTCATGACGCCCGTTCTTGACGCTGTTCTCGTGGCATTGAGCTATTCACGACAATATTCTTGTAAATACTCACCAATGCTGCGCCCGCCTTCACTCACAACGCGGCTTGTCCACATCCCTTCATGAGTAACATGCTTGTCAGACCCTTCATGGGGAACATGCTATCGGAAAAGGGACGCTTCTAATACGGACCAATTTCGCGAACGTAGGTTTCGTACATTAGAACGTTGTCGGACAGCGTGGCCCTCAGTATGATATCTTGTTAAAAGTAAATGGCTCTCCTACAAAATGGCAGAAAGCAACTTCTGTCAGAACTGCAGTATGCGCCTTCAGCGAATTCTTGGAATGGAATGACTGGGAGTTTTTCGCTGTTTTCCATTCTCGAGATTCTATAACCTGGCTACGTGAGGTGGCTATTGTAGGCATGGTGATGGAGTCGTCACTGTAGTAAACTGAAGAATTTCATCAAAATCCGCTGTTATTTGCGCAATGTTCTCGTTATGTTACAATAAATTCTAGTGAACAGCGTAGGTCTTGTGCTCTCGCGAGATGCATCCCAGTATTAATCTTCCCACTGGCTCTCGCTTCGAACTTTTCTCCTTCTTGTTCTTCTTTTTTTTATTTGCTTTCATCTTTTCTTGCTCGACTGTGCCATTTTTATCTGGCCATAAGCTTGTTTTCCTGAATTATTCAGCTCTCATTCGGGTGCTTCCATCGATGAAAGAGTTAAATAAATAAATTTCTCAGCAAAATGCGTGAAATAGTTCCATCCGATAGATGTCATAGTCGTGTTGTAACGATGCCGATATCGAAGCAAGTTTCACGTAAATGACTTTAGATGGAACTGTTCGTTGGAAAGCCTCTTCTCGGACCAGATGGGAACGAAATCGACGCGGAAGAGGCCCTAGAGGGAAAGGTGCGTTTTCTTCCGATCGTAACAGATTTGGGAAAGTTTGAAACGATAGCAAACTCGTCTCTCTCTGATTTCGACCGTTATGTTTGTTCCATGGTTGACTAGGAACGGAACCAACACTCGTGGAGCCGGCGCCACTTGACGCTAGCGGTGTTTGTGGAGTACGATCTCCTTCCCCCAGGCTCAACCATGGGAGAGCCCAGGCAACCAGGGAAGGCTCGGCCTAGTCTCGTTTAGTCGAACACCAAGATCGAAACCTCCTGCATTGGGGGATGGGAAGCTGCGCACTTCTCCACTCTTTCATGTCATTTCAGCGCCCTTTCGCGAGAAGGGATTGACATAATTAATGTTAATCCACAGTGAACTTGCGAACTCCATGCCGAGAACCACGCAAACTTCGATCATGCAGTATGCCTGTGATGCCGGCACCGATCTTGCGCATTTTAGTGCAAGTTTGTCATAGTCACCGCAATAGTGGATATCTTACGCATGGTTTAGACCATCGAATACCCATAAAAGTACCGTTAATATCCTCTAATTCAGTCAGGGCGGTGATGGAATGAGCCCCCACTGGCCTTTTCTACCAGTAGATATTTTCTTCCTGAATCAATCACTAAGCTGTTATTATTGGTAGAAAACTCAGCTAGTGGTAGGCTCATGTAACGCCTCCTGACACCGCCCCCGAA